TGTGCCTGCCTCACAAGCACAAGATCCTGAGTTCACTCCCCAGTACTAAAGCAGCCTGTTGCTCAGAAGGCCTCTGACTTGGTCAGTGCGCACTTCCGGTGTGTGCTCACTAGCCTCTTTGTGCTTCCTTCCTGTCCAACAGGAAGCTCCAGGCTCAACCTGTGCTTTCCTGCTCCAAGCCCTGCATTGCCATTTCCCCAGAGGTGTCCACTTCTGTCAGTGGTAAATCTTTTTAGATGCCAGCGTCTAGATGCCAAGTACTAGGGCTTTGCCATCCCAACCAAGACTCATGCATCAGTATGATTATTTCTCTCAGGGAAGTTACTTGAACCCATACAAAAATGTATTCATTTCAGTTACTTTCTATTGTGGTGTTTACAACTAATACAGCCATAAACATACATGTATAATACACACATAGCATACAGAAAACTGCATAAATCTTAAAAGTGCAATTTGATAACTTTTATAAAGCAAATATTAATGTGACCAATGACAGCATCAAGGACCCAAGGTTGGGAATGTAGCTCAGTGGTAGAGCCTTTGCCTAGTATGTGTGAGGCCTGTTCCATCCTAGCACCACAAATTTTTAAAAAATTAAAAATTAGGACCCTCTAACACTTTAGGAATTACTGTATGCCTTGATCGGTTAAATGCATTGATTTTCTTTCTATTTTGACATCTATTTATGTCTTGCAGAAAGGCAGTAGCTGAATGAAGAGTGTTGGCAATTGTGAATGTCCTGAAGTTGGAAACTCCGGTTTTTAAAAAGATACTTTTAAAAAGAAGGTAGAAACGGGAGCCTCAGAGTGGGCAGTTTCCTGCAAAGTGGAGAGCTGTCAGAGAACGTGTAGCAGCTGGACAAGAAACACCTACAAAAGCAAAAAAAGCCGAGTTCATTGGGAAAGAAATGGTCAAGGTACCAAAACAGGTGTTTCCCAAAAGGCCATCCAAATGGCCTGCCAGTCAGTGCAGGAAAAGACTCTCAGCCTCGTTTCCCAGGAGAGAAGCACAAATGCTGCCAGGCATGCACCAGTGGCTAAAGTGAAAGAGACAGGTTGTAGGCAGTGCAGGGAGGGCATGGGGCGGCAGGAACACGGGCTTGCTGACAAGGGCAGAGGCGCAAGCACCTTGCAAAACTGGCATTTTCTGTCAGAGTAGATGGTCTGGGAAATTCACAACCCAGCTGTCCCTCTCCTGAAGATGCGTGGGAGAGAGGATGCTCCGTGCCTGGGGCCCGCTGAGTGCTGGTCTTCGCAAGTCATCCATAAGTGCCAAAATGGAAAACACCCATATCTGCAGGCAGAAGAGTGTGGTCTATTTGCACAGTGGAATCATGGCCAGCGGTGAGGATTCCAAGAGCTATGGCTCCACCCAACACCACCACTGAACCACAGTCAATAAAAGGTGCTGGACACAAGCAATCGTACACAGATTGCTTTCATCTATAGAGTTCCAAACACACGAACTTGCTTAAAAGATAACAGTGCTAAGGGATATATACTTAGGTTGTAGGAGCACATATAAAGGCCTGGAATTGCCTGCCAGATGTTGATCAGGGCAGTGGGACAAGGTGGTCCTTCTCCATGTTTTGCTCCAACTTTTTTTTTTTTGGTTTTTTTTTTTTTTTGGTACCAGGGATTGAAAAATATATTTTAAAAATTTTTTTAAATGTAGTTTCTTTCCTGCAAGTTATGAATGTTCCATTATTTTTGATGGCAAGTCACCCCTCTCTTGCTTTGAAAATAATTGGGTTATTCTCCAGCTGCCCTAAAAGCTTTTTGTTTTTCCTTTCTGTTATGTGCAGAGCTAGGGATTTGTTACTTCTGTTGCTTGGTCTTGAGTTTGTGGGTTGATGAGATGGGCAGTGGGGATTTTCCACAACTACTCCTCTGTCTCTTCTGTCCTCAGCCTTGCTGGCTGGCCTCCCAGGAGTGCAGCCTTTCTGTCCTGCCTACATCCACCCCTCTGGTCTCCCCCGCCCCCAGGAGCCTCCAGCATAGCAGGCAAATGTAGAATGGGACTGAAGGGATGCCTGTCACTTTTCTGCCTCAGAATAGTTCCCTCTCTGTCCCCAGCACCTTCCCTGGGTAACTCTCCTCTTTCTGCACTTCAGGGGGACTGAGCTCACCTCAGTAGCTGGTTGCTGCCCCTCATGGTCCTGCCCGTCTCAGACTCTGTTTCTTGGGAGCAGAAGGACCTCAGGGAGTATAGGTCCCTGTTGTCTTAAGCCCTGGGGATGACAAGGGCACATGCTCAACTTCTAGGGAGATGTTAAGCTTGTTAGCTTTCAAACTTGCAGAGGGGAAGCAGCTTGAGTTAGTGCTTAGGGTTGGGGATCTCCAGTGTGGTGAAAGTGAGAGGTTGGGCCAACTTCAGAGCCCCTCCTCTCAACACACCCATGTCACATGGACACTGTCACACGTGTGCAAACAGATGAACACCCAAGGTTTTATGTCCTCTCCAAACTCAGGGAAGAACTGTGAGTCACCCTGCAGTGGCCAGGGTAACTCAGAGGATAGGGGAAGTTGGTCTGACCTGTACAGAAAGATACTGGGCAGATAGAGAGAAAGGAAGGTGTAGGGAACAGGGAAAGGGAACTTATCAGAACCCCTGCAGTGGGTCCTGGTTTCCTGTGAGCCAGGACAGCACAAGGTGAATTAAAGAATTAAATCAAGAAAAGAGGCTTAAGAAGCTGGGTTCTGGGCCTGAACAATGCTGCTCTGGGCAGCAAAGATGAAGGCACCCTGAGCTTGCCACTATTTATTGGTTTCATAGGAAGTAACAGATGACTCAGAGGGTGGCAACAATCCTAAATTGACAAGGACCTCATAATCTGAGGAAGTACCAGATATCTTGGAGGGTGTGGGTAATCCTAGGATCATGAATATTTTATGTTGATTAGGAGGGTAAAATGAACAAAGACATTCTTACAACAGTGGGTGGGTTGAGTTAAATTGATAAGAAATTTGTCCCTCCCCAGGTGAGACCTTTCCTTTGGGTTCTCAAAGACCCAGGATGTCTTCATCTGATGCTATCTTGCCCTTGAGCATCACAACATTGTGGGACCATGCAGGTCTCGACTGTGACTGGAGGCAAAAATGGAATTATAGTTTGGCATGTCATAGCCAGCCTGTAGGCAAGAAGACTAGGCTTCATCATGATTTAATTGTGAAATGATTTTTTGCCAAAAGTATGTAGAATGGCTCCTGACAGGCAAGGAGAGAGGAGAGAAGGCAATTCTCTCTTTGATCCGTACAAGTGTTAATGGAATGTCAAATGTGACCCAGGCACTATACACAACCAAATGAAAATGGGCCAGAGGGGCTTGCAGGGAGTGAGGAGAGCTGGAAGTCAGAGAGGTGAAAACACAGAGTTTGAAGCCAGGGCCAGGCAGTGAGGGCATGGACAGACTAGACATGGACAGGCCACGGATTGCCCCCTCCATTCTGGAGGTATGGCTCTGTCCACACCACTGGCTATCAAGTGGCTGTCCTGTCTCCAACACGAGCCCAGGAAAACTCAACCTGGTTGGGAAAAATCCCAGGGAAGAGCTTCCCTAATGTAGGTGCGCCCTTGGGGGCCATCTAGGCAGCCAGCCAGCCAGCCAGCGCAGCATCAGTGCTGAGGGAAAGTAGTGAGGAAGCTACTGTTTCTCTCTGCTTCCTTTCCTCCAGGCACAATGAGCCGCTTGGACACAGGGTCAGCCTAAGATGACTTCATGGCCCAGGCCCCAGTGTCCTGTGCATACCTTGGACCCTTCCAGGGACCAGCCCCAATCCCCCATTCTTGCCTAACTCCTTCAGGAAGCCGCGGGGAGATCACTGGGACCACCTGCTCCTCATTATGAGGGGTCAGAAACATCCAGGGCTGAGCAGGCCTTCCAGTGGCATCTCCTCTACCGTTAGGCACTGAAACAGTGCCCTAGGGTCCTACTCAGTCCCCACCCGGCCCTCTTCGGACTTCCAGGTCCTTCTGCTCCCCTTCCCTTCACCTCCTGCTTAGTCTGAAACCCGCGTCACCCGACTCTGCTGTGTAGAATGAGTCAGGATTGGGGCTGGGGCTCCTCCACCAATCTGCCCCCACGGTGCAAGTGTCCCCACTTGCCAGGCTTCCGTTCTTTGAGCCCTGTGTCCGGTGGGTGGTGTCCAGGGCCCAAATTCTTGAACCCCTCATCTGGAAAGTGCTTTTCCAGGCTGGGAGTGTGTGGGGGTGTGGCCTTCACTCACTGCTGCCAAGAGGGATAAGGCCCTGGTCCCACATTTCCATCTCTCACAAGCCCATCCTCTCAGCTCACCACACAGTGTCTCTGAGCCCCCTGCCTCCTCCTGTCCTCCCTGCGCAACCAGCCTGAAAGCCCCATCCCACTGCCCACGTGCTGGTGGACCCCCTGCTAATGTCTCCAGCTCGTCTCTTGCCCGCGCTTCTCCATTTGGCATCTCAAAGTCAAGCTCTTCTCCTCACCGTTGGCCTGTGGCCATGTCCACCTGCCAGCTGTCTGGGCATCTGGCCCCCGAGCAGTGGCCAGATGCTTCTGCCTGCAGCCCTCTCCCTGTCACTTCTCCCAGTCCTGATCTCCAGCCTAGCGCCCTCTGCCCTGTGCCACGGGGCAGAGCCCATGTGGGGCCCTGCTGCCTCCTGAGCTGCAACCTTGGGTCAGCATTCACTGTGACCCCGGGAAGTGGAAGCCATTTTGCTCTTTTACGGCTGAGGAGACTACAAAAGCAGGTGGGGAAACTGCCTCAGTCCCAGTAATGAGCCAGCCCTGGCGTCACCTCGGGGCACTTCCTCTGGGGGAATAGGGGTTTCCTAGCTCCCCTCTCAGCTTGTGTGGGAGTTTCTGCTGCCTCATATGGCCCCAGGCTGCCTGAACCCTAGGGTTTAGGTCCCTGTCAGCAAAGTCTGATGCAGCCCCCACCCCAGACCACCAGGCTGTACCTGAAGGAGGCTCCCAAGGCCTCCAGACACACACACACCTGGCTCATGGACAGGAGGCCGGGCAGGTGCCGAGTAGCTATTTTATTGAAAGTTCACAGATACAAGTGCTCTGAGCAGGTCACAGTTTGGAGGAGGCAGGGTCAGGACAGAGTGAGCCCCAGGTGCTGGCAGCCCCTCATCCTGGGAGCTCCCACATAAGCCCTTCTTGCTGGTTATGGGATCTGCGGGCCCCGGAACTTGGGCAGGGCACATGGAAGCTGGGGCAGCAGCAGGGAAGAAGCTGGGACTCAGAGACAGGCAGGGTGTGGGCCAGGAGGCAGATGGGGGCTAGATGGAGCTCTCTGCTCCTTGGGTGTTCAGCTTTGAAGGCCTTGCTCTGAGTCACACACAGCTTCTGAGGCCCAGACAGGAGCCTCAATGTGCCCCAGCCTCAGGGCATCCTGCATCTCAGTGACCACAAAATTAAGCAAGTCTCAGTGCTTCATCCTCATGGCCCTGGTGCCTGTGGGGTCAGTAGTCAGTGAGTGGGTACCGCAGGAAGATGAAGACCAGGATGATGCAGGAGGCCGCCAGAGCCGAACTGGTGATGTTGAACAGACGGGCCGTTTTGGCGTCCTCCACTGCCCCATTCAGGTCATTGAGGAGCTTCTTGTCCCGAACCTGGAGCCAAAAGGAGTGTAAGAGCTGGGTCACCAAGGTGGCAGGAGCAGGGACCCACAGAGGGCGGCAGGACAGCACAATTTCCTAACTTGCAGTATCTATATGCTCATCTGCAAGGAAGTACCCTGACTTTGGGGAAGTACTGAGGTCTCCTGTGTGTGAAACTTGCTCTCAGTTTGTGAAAGAAGTATTGAGAGAGAGAGAGAGAGAGAGAGAGAGAGAGAGAGAGAGAGAGAGAGAGAGGGGGGAGGCAAACGGGGGAAATATTAACATTTGGACATCTGGGTAAAGGTTCCTGGGGATTTTTTTGTTTGTTTCATTTGTTCTTCAAAACTTTGCTGTAAATCTAAAGTGATCTAAACTAAAAAGAAAAGGTGGTCTCGGAGAGGGCACTGTGGTGGAAGCATGAAGGTGGAACTGATCCTGAGAGTAGGTGCTGGGAGGAGAGGACAGCTAGCCGTCTATGCCCGTGTTCTCCGGGGAAGAACATGGGGAACCAGGCTCCCTGCAGGGCCAGTGGGCAAAGTTGGTAAATTTCCAAGAGGCCACCCTCTTCAGGGGAGTCTTGGGATGTCCCTTCTACTTACAAAGAAAGAAAAAGGTGTGAACATGCTGTAAGCAGAAATGAAAGCCTGGGAGGAGGAAGAGGAGAGGGAGAGATGAGGAGAAGAAGTGATGGGAAATCTTCGCATTAGTCAACTGGGGCTGGCTGAGGGAAGGAAAGTGGGCAGATTGGTACCTGGACTGACCAGGCCCAGATCATTTGGCACGGACAGGTTGGGAAGGTAGAACAGAGCAATGCGTGGTCAAGAGGGCAGATGGACAGAAAGGTGGGAGTGCACAGGGGGCAGAAGGAGGGGAGTAGCTAGCTGGAGGGACGGCGCTTTGGTAGACGGAGGGAGGAAGCAGGAGGAGCAAAGGGAAGAGAGAGAGAAGAGGATGAACGGATGGACGAGCAAAGATGGACAGAAGGAGGGAGGGCTGGTGGGAGAGGAGGGAGACGGGGTAGGAGGAAGGGGTGGGAAGATAAGATGGCGGGAGAGGGGAGGGCAGGAGCAGGGTGAACAGGCAAGACGTGTAGGCAATGCATGAGCAGAGACAGGGCTGAAAGGAGGAACTAGGGGCCTGGGGATGGAAGGAGGGAGAGGTCTTTGTCGCTGGGGAGTTATTCTACTGATTTTGGAGGGAATGGACACTGGCTGGTCTCACTGAATGCTGTCCTCTTTCCTGAGAATAGGGTGTGTCACTCATTTATTTAGTTCCCAGTGTTCAAAGTCTTTATTAAAATATTTTATAATTTTCTAGCCTATCTTTTGTTAGATTTTGTCTTCGCCTATTTATTTGTTTAGGTTTGGTTTTGTTTGAGACAGGGTTGCACTGTGGTTTGATTTTTGTTTTTGGTACCGGGGATTGAACTTGGGTCCTTGCACTTGCGAGACAGGTGGTGGAACCACTGAGCTAAATCCCGGCCCCAGGGTTGCACTGTGTATTCCAGATTGGCTTTGAACTCATGAGGATCCTTTTGCCTCAGCCTCCCAAGTATTGGGATTACAGGTGTGCACACCACACCTGGCTTTGGCTTTTCTATTTTTAAATTTTAATGTAAAAATGACATTTTCACTGATCTTTGTGGGTGGTAGACATTTGCCTCTCCTGTAGAGGATCCAGCTAAGCTATGATATTTTTGATAAATGGCCAATTGCTTTTCATAATAAATCATAACAAAATCACTGTGAACAACAGCAGTTCTACTGGCTCATTCTAGTCCTTATTCCACACTGCAGCAGTTAGGGGCACAGATGCCGGAAAGTCACTGGCTGGACCTGGATCCTGGTTCTATCAGGTGCTAAAAATGTGGCCCAAAAGGTAACTGCCTTTGCTGTCCCTCTGTGCCCTCTTCTGTGACACAAGGATCATGTGGTGTTGGCCTCATAAAGGCAGGGAAGGACCTCATGAACCAGCAAGTGTGAGGCTCTGGCAGGGCATCTGGCTCACAGCAGCTTTTATTTCAGAGGCAAAGATGATTTGTAGAACAGTAGGGAATAGCAGAGATGGTAACAAGCAGTCTCTTCTCATGAGGGAGCTTAACATCCACTACAAAGAATGATGCTCATTTTATGAATAGAGGTCAAACATCATGTTAAATAGTCTCATGAGATAAACACATGATTTTCCCTTTGAATTTGTTAATGTGGCGGGTTACAGTCATTGCTTTTCTTATATTAAAAACAAACAAACCTCTAAAGCTGGGTCTGGTGGTGCATACCTGTATTTTCAGCACTCAGCAGGCAGGAGGATGATGAGTTCAAGGTTGCCTGGACACCTGGACTACACAATAAGACCAAAGCCCCCAGAACACTCTGAATTACTAAACTACGCCTTGTTCATAATTTTTTTTTTTTTTTTGAACCAGTGATCGAACTCCAGACCTTGCGCTTTTGAGGCAGGCAGCAGCACCACTGAGCTAAATCCCCAGCCCTTGTGTGTTCTTTTTTTGTTGTTGTTTTTTTTGTTTTTTGAGGCAGGGTCTCATTATGTAGTTGAGACTGACCTGGAACTCACTATGTAGCCCAGGCTAGTCTTGAACTCGCAGCGATCCTCCTGCCTCAGCCTCCCAAGTGCTGGGATTACAGGCATGAGCTGCCACACCCGGCCCTAGTGTGTTCTTGTTCAAAGGAGTGACACAGTGAGAGCCTTGTAGGTTTCACATGGATGGATCAGCAGAGGGAAGCCAGCTGGATGGCAGCCAGCACTAGGGGCCAAGGGATAGTTGCTATAAAGGAGACAGGAGGAGATTTGATATCGGGAGCCATTCTACATACTTTTGGGGGGAAAGTCACTTCACAGTTAAATTATGATCAGGGCTGTGTGAGGCACAGTCTTCCTGCCTGTGGGCCGGCTATGGTAGGCAGAAACATAACTCCCATCACAGTTGAGGTCTCAATGGTCCCGTGATGCCATGACACCCAAGGGCAAGATTGCATCAGCTGAAGACATCCTGATTCTTTGAGATGTGAGTAGTAATAAGAAAAGAGAAAGGTTTCATCTGGGGAGGGACAAATTCCTTATCAGCTTAATTCATGCCACCTACTGCTCTAAGAAGTTTTGCTCATCTCGCTGTCCTAATTAACGTAAAATCCTCATCGTCACAGGATTACTGCCACCCTCTGAGTCATCTGTTACTCCCTATGAACCCAATAAACAGCGGCAAGCTCGGGTGTCTTTGTCTTTGTGCACTCTGAGGCACTGACCTCCCGGCCCCCATATACTTTGTTTGTTTGTTTGTTTGTTGCTACCAGGGATCAAACTCAGGACCTTGCACTAAAGGCAGGCGGCAGAACCACTGAGCTAAATCCCTGCTCCCCCCATGTACTTTGAAATTACATAAGTCTCTATTGTCTTTTTTTCCTTTAGCTCTTGCAGCGCCCCTTTCTAGGCAGTGAGGGGATTGATCACCCTCAGACAACCTGATGTTTAGAAGCGGGGTGGATTCATGGAGGGTAGATGTTTGCAGGGGAAAGGAGGAATAATGTATGCTTGATTGGAGGGAAGGCGGGATGGATACAGGGATTACGTGCATATTAGTGGGATAACGGGGTGATGGATATGTGAATGCAGGTCAGATACACGGCCAAAGACAGCCAGGGAAGGGGGTGAATATATGAGAACACGATGGCTGCATGGCACAGGTGGTCAGAAGGGGCAGGGATGTGTACCAGGTGAGTGGACAGGTGAGTTTGCAAACATGCAGGAGAGTTGAGGCTGGTGCGCCAATGCACTTTAAATGGGCAGGATGACAAGGAGATGAAGGTATCGATATACACTGGATGGGTACAATGGGTACATAACGGCCGTGTGAACTTATGCCGAGAGGACAGAGCAGAGGTGGTGGTGCACGTGTATGCCTACTGGATGGGACAAGTGGGCAAACAAACCTGTGGATGTGTGCTGGGTGAATGGATCAGGTGGGTAGACTGACAGGTAGACAAATGACTTTGTGAATGTCTGTTGGGTGGCCGGGGTCTATACTGGGATGCAGTAAGATATGCTGCATCATAGGCAGGTGCCTAGGTAAGTATGCTGGACAGGCTGAACAGGCAGGTATGATTGCATGTTGGATGAGTAAGACAGGTGTGTAAGTGCAAAGGGGGGTGTTGGATAAGGTTTATGTACTTCGATGGACAGCAGGTGGATAGGCTGACTCGTTAACGCAATCAATTGTCCATCAGTTGAACTTTATCAGTGCCTTTGTGCAGCTGCTGTTCTCAGAAGGAATAGACGGTCTCTGTCCTCATGGAGCTTACATTCTCAGGTGATGATAAGTACAAATGGCAAGTAAAACGGCTGATGTGTTAAATGTGCCCAGAAGAAGCCCAAGGAGAGGTGAACAGAGTATCATGGGAAGCATGGTCTTGGTTGTGTTGCCAGGAATATCTCAGGGAGGGGACTTGAGAATAAAGACCAGACAAGTGTGACAGGCTCAGTCACAGGACAAGTTTAACTGGGGAGGGAGGTGCAGAGGTGAGCTCAAAGCTGTGCAGAAGGCGGAGACCAGAGTGGGGAGCAGAATACAGACAAATGTGGGGAGAAGACACTGGTCAGGAGCCGAGTGAGAGGGACTTTTGGAGTGATGTAAGAAGTGGATGGTCTGACATATTTTGATGTAGAGATTTTGGCTGCCACGCTAAGATCCGATGGAAGGGGAAGACACAGCCTGGACAAGAGCAGAGGTCAGTTTAATAGCACAGGTTGGAGATCAGGGTGGCTCTCCAGGCAGAAGCAATGAAGGTGGGAACAGGGCTCTGTTTCCGGGTATATGTTGAAGGCAGGCTGGTGGGGTTTCCTGAAGTCAGGTGTGGAGTGTGACAGAAGAATGGTGTTGGAGATGGCTTCGAGGGTTCAGTTTGATCGATGTAAAGAGTAGAAGCTCATGAGAGGAGCAAGTCTAGGGTGACCAGCAGTCCAATTCTGAGTTAGCTAGAAAAGCCTTCCACACATAC